GGAGAACGGGTTCAACTTTTCCAAATTGTATTATTTTATATTTTTTCTTCATCTTTTTTTCAATTCAAAAAATAACTTTCAATCATACGTCACAATTCCTTCGGATTCTAAATCCCATTAATGCTAGTGGATTCAAGTCCAACTAATGGAGAGAGAGGAGAGAGAGGTGATATTGTGATCAATGAGCTTTATTTATGAAATATTTATTGATTTAATTTAATTTAATTTCGAGTAAAAGTGAATATATACTATGACAATTTTATAAATTTTGCAATTACATGTGGTTGAGATAAAATAAACAAGCAAATGGGAATAATAATGAGATAAATGATTAAAAAAATAAAATACAAGAAAATACTATAGCAAATGAGTCATAATTGATATTCTTAATAAACTTATTCACCAATTTTAAATGATATAATTCATGGTTATAAATGGATTGAAATACAAACTATTAAATTTTTTTTCATTTAACAATTAAATAATTATAAAGTTTACAAATTTATTTGATTAATCAATCAAGAAAAAGTTGCAACCTGCATTTTTCGCCCTTGAGGGACCTATTAGTCCTTCCCAAGAGAATAAATTGCATTTTTTTTGTTAGTTCCCCTACCAATTTTTTTATAAAAAAATATGTATATAAATATATTTATGTTCCATATGGAATATGAATGTTTCAGGTCTATCATCTAAGAAACTCACTCTCGTGAAGTGCTAATCCATTACTGTTAGACAGGGAAAGTAGGCAAGAAGGAAAGTTGAGGCCGACCAGTAGATGAAGTGATGAATGAATTAGAAGCTAGTATGAAATAACATTGAAAAGAAAAAGAATATGTGCGTGAAATGGTGGATTCACCCCTCATCTTTTTTAGTATATATCTACTAGTGAAGAAAAAAACCCTTGAGGGCGATGATTGCTTGGCACTATTTGTAGGACTGAGACTTACTTTTTGTAGCAATACCTCGATTGCAGGAATCTATGGCAAACAACTCATAACCGCACCACCTCTAATACCTGTAAGGTGATATGTGATGGGGTGGCTGACCTAAAGACCAACTATTCTATTCATGGATAACATATTTTGTGCGGTGTCTATATGTGCAAACAACCAATCACATTCATGCAATTTCAGGTACATAATGGCGTTCAAATGCGATTGGTGGTCCACATCTACAGACATACACACGTACCACACATAATATTTTATTCTATCCATGCACTTAGAAATATTTTAATAAGATAATATAAAATTTGACAACCAAAATGGTATATGGTTCAGTCCAAATGAGATAATGTTCTAATATGAACTTATTTTAAAAGTAAAAAAAATTATCATTTAAAAAAACATAGAAATGTAAGAAAAAATATTATTTAAAAAAATTAAAGAAATGATATTATGTGTATTAAAATTTTTGGAACAAAGCATATAAAAAACATATTGATGTGTGTCAGAAGGAACATTGCGATGATATAATGATTTTTTAACATCTTAGTGTTGAATGAAGATATGACACAAACTTAGATAATAAAAGAGAGGTCAGACATAAGAAGACACCTTGATTTTTATGTGAAAAACCCTTAAAAAGGGAAGAAACCATAAAGCCTAGCCTAGTTGAAATAATTCACTATGAATGACAACCATACAAGTTCACTTCTTGTTCTGAATTAAGGAATATGGAGCTACATAGTTGATTATTGTACAACAGAGTTCATCAATAATAGTCATAGTTTGATTGTAGTGAAATCAGTTCTTAGCGATAACTTGTTGTAAGGGCAGTCACCAATTACTATGGAGGCAATAGTTCCTCATGAATGTTGTAGATAGTGGTTTTAGCTCCAGCTTGTTATAGAGGCAGTGATTGGTCATGTGGGCCGCAAATGATTGCTTTAGAAGTGTCGATTAGACATAGAGGCTATAGTAGGAAGATGCACGTGTTGTGAGCCACATAGGGCGTAATGGTGAGCTGCGGTGACGATGGTATGCTGCATGGGCTGTGAGCCACATAGGTTGTATGGTGAGATGTGCTGATGTCGAAAAGCCACAGAGTTCAGATTTGGGAGATATGCAAGCTATAAATCATGCAGCCAGCAGTTAGTCGCGGGGGTCATTGTGGTGAGCTTTGATGACATCCATAGGCTACAGGGGTCAAGATCAGGAGTTACACGAGTTGTAGACCACATAGATAATAATTGATCACGTATATCGTAACAGTGAGTTGTGATGATAACCATTTACTATAGGGGCCATAATTCAGACCTGCACAAGCTATGGACCACATAAGTTGTAGTTGGACGCGTTGATTATAGCGATAAACTGCGATGATGTCTGTATCCTGTAGATGTCAGAGTCGGGGAGCCACACAAGTTGCAAACTATGCAAGTCATAGTTGGCTACATAAGCCGTAGTAGTGAGTTATCAAGACGTTCGTATGCTGCAGTGACATAGTCGGGAGCTACACAAGTTGTTGACTACGGAGGTCAAAGTTAGTCATATAAACCATAACAATTAAATGCGATGACATCCATAGTCCGCAGAAGCCGGAGTCTAGAGCTACACAAATTGGGCTTTAGGAGTCCAGAGAAAGTCACTATCTTCGGGGTGCATTGTTACACTATTTTAGAGATGCATCATTGTATTGTATGTGGTGTGCGTTGTTACACCGTCACAAGGATATGTCGTTTCACCGTATTTGAGGTGTATTGTTATAATACCTCTGGGAGGCGTTATTATATCGTATGTGGGATGTAATGTTTTGTAGGATGTCTCATTAACTTGTAATGTACACCGTGTTTACATAATGCATCTCGTGATTCTATAAAGGGTTTCATTGCAATGAGTCAAGGGAAGTCGACGAGTGGTGGTAGCCGGTTAGAAGTATTCCTCGTATATGCGGTGCAGAAGCAATGCTTGACTTCAGTTCCCCCTCCAAGAATTAGGCTTCTTCTAACTCAATTTGTCTCTCATTCTCAAAAGCGGGGTAGGGGTCTATTTATGGGGTTTGAGACATACATATTTGCTAATAAGAAATGAATTCAGACAACTCCGTCAGATGACCAAGAGAGTTTGCTTCAATATAGCAATATTCAATGAATATTTGAGTGCATTCAAAATGTCACAATTGAGAGATCTTGTACTTATTAGTTTCATCTCGCCGAGATGCTTGATTCGACTATAAGCTTGTCAGATTTGAAATCCACCTAACATTTCAATTATGTAATGAAAGCATCCAAAAGTGATTTAATGACTTGATTTGAGCTTGATTTGACTCTGATTGAATTGATTTTGGTACCATTGGACCCGTCTGTAGAACCGGTCAATTTGACTATAAGTTTTCTAAAGACTTCTAAATGATTTTTAATCGAAGTTTAAATGATTGACTCTGATTGAATTGATTTTGGTACCATTGGACTCGTCTTGTAGAGCCGGTCAATTTGACTAAAAGTTTTAAAAAAACTTTTAAATGATTTTTAATCGAAGTTTAAATGTTTCTTGCTAAAAAATTATCCCGAAATTCGTGTCAGATGATGGAAATTTGTTGATGGCCTATCTCATACATATTAATAAATTGTCCTGTAATTAATTGGAAAAAAATTACTCTTTGTATTTAAATTTTAATTAAAATTATTTTTAATATCAAACATTTTATCCATTTAAAATTGAGCACTTACATACGGGCAAAACTTTTGCACAGACATGTTATCTTTAAAATTTTGTTTTTTTTACATTTATATCCTACCCAAATTTCAATTTTAAAATATCAAATGCATATTTTCATATTGATAAGACAACACATGCAAAAGTTAAAATCTAGAGTTAGACATGATTATATGAGAGCTAATTCTCTCTTTTAAATTTATATTAAATATTTGCCTATTTGGATAAGTTTTGCCGTATTTTTTTTTGTTTGGATTAATAACAATAATAATAATTAAATAATCTGACAGATTGATATGCTTAGATAACTTTCTCAATCAATTATAATATTTTGTTACACATTCTCGTGACTTTGTGTTCAATACTTAAATATACACGAATCGTATGGTAGGTGTAGCCGTAGGTTATTAAAAAAGTAGTTGTGAAGATATTAAATAGTAATTTGATGCTCAAAAAGTTGTTGTAGTTATTACAAATTATTTCATTTCTTAAAGTTAAATTGTAACTAGAAAGTTGCCACCGCACTTAACAAAGAGTGGAGGGGAAACACTGATTTTAGATGCAATTTTTTAAGAAAACTGTGAAAACGTAGTTTACCAAACAAACAAAATAACAGTGCGGTGCTGCGCCGCCACTGCACCTTCGTCTTAATCAGATCCTAAATGTCCAAACTTTCTCAATCAATTATAATATTTTGTTACACATTCACGTGACATTGTGTTCAATACTTAAATATACACCAATCGTATGATACGTATTTAAAGTTTTGGTGTAGCCGTAGGTTATTAAATAAGTAGTTGTGAAGATATTAAATAATAATTTGATGCTCAAAAAGTTGTTGTAGTTATTATAAATTATTTCTTTTCTTAAAGTTAAATTGTAACTAGAAAGCTGACACCAGACTTAGCAAGGAGTGGTGAGAAAATACTGATTTTAGATGTAATTTTTTAAAAAAGCTGTGAAAACATAGTTTACCAAACAAACAAAACAACAGTGCGGTGCTTCGCCGCCACCTTCGTCTTAATCAGATCCTAAATGTCCAAGACTTTAAATTTAGCATCAATATTTTGATATCAAATCAGAGCAATAATTTTTTAAGAATTTTATTACAAGTATCAACCAAATAAATAAAAATAATATTTTAATTATCTAAAATATAGATATAATATTTTAACTACTATCTTTATAATAATCATAATATTAAATTTTTTTTTATGACAAAAATATTTATTTACGAGATAACTACATACATAACACTTAAAATACTACTATTATCTAATATTTTTGATATACATTAGTATAAATTATACTAATCATTTTGGGTTTGGGTGGTGGTTACGTAAAAACGGCGAAAAGTTTAGGCGAGCCGGGCATAAAAGAGCTAGTAGAAGTGAGAAGAAGTGGATCGTATACGGCACAGCTTTGAAAAAACTGCGGGAGAAGGTGAGGAGCCGAGAGGAAGAAATCAGTGGAGCTGATCTTCCAATTTTGTATCGTTCGATGGGCTCGCTCACACAGAGGGAGGAGCTAGAGATCTCGACGGCGGCCGACGAGGGGTGTTCGTCGGAGGCGATCATCTACATCAACGGCATCCGCCGTGTTCTTCCGGATGGTCTGGCTCACCTCACTCTACTCCAATATCTCAGAGGTAGGCGACGCGAAGCATTCAAATCAAGCTTCATTACCCGTTTCTTTGAATGGGTTCCTGTTAGGTTCTTGTCTGTTAGTTTATCGTAAAGCTTTGATTTTATTTGTTTTTGTTAAGTTATTAAGGAATTTCGGCTTTCATTTGCGTGACAGAGACGATTTTTGTTTGTGAAGTTATCATGTGCAGTTTATGTCACATTATATAAGAATTTGTATTCATTTGAAGTAAATTAGATCCCTAAACTCAAAAAAAAAATGTTTGGAGGAGGAAATCCTGAGAGAACAATGTTAAACAATCCAATTATATAAAAATCTGCTTCAGAAGATACAATTTACCAGATTACAATATGGACAAATAAGTCTTAATCCAATTACATTTGCTAAGCTAAACAGTAGTGATAATGACTTTGAGATGTACTTAACTTATCCATTCTTTGCATAACTCCCAAAGAACTACAAAATGTCCGGAGGAATACTCATCACTGTGAGGTATAAGAGTGTAGAAATCCGTAATAATGATTTAAACTGTATAATTTCTGAATGAAGCTGCTAATTAATTCCATTAGTTACATTTTGCAACTATATTGACATTTTTGTTTTGGTAAATAAAATAGTCACGGGACTTGCTTGAGAATTATGACTTTGTTGATTTTCTTTCACTGTATTTGCTGTTGTTTAAACCAATTCTCTCATCGTCCCCTAATATATGTTAGAGGTGGATTTAATGTTTATCTTGAATCATTAATCTGATTTTTCTCAACTTTTTGGCATGCTATGCAGAAATAAATCTGACTGGGACAAAGCTTGGGTGTGGAGAAGGTGGTTGTGGAGCCTGTACAGTAATGGTTTCTGATTATGATCGGTCTGCAAAGAAATCAGTGTGAGTTTCTAATTATTTGAAAAGAATGAGTGGGAACTCTAGTCTAAGGAAGAAATGCTGTAATAATCTCCGTCTAAAGAAGTCATAGATGGTGATTTTAGTTCTTTCAATTATGAAATGTCCCTTGTATGTTGTTTGGCTGAATTTTGCTAATGCAACCTTGTTTACTTACATTGATCAGGAGTAGTAGAAACTAAAAATTGTAATTTGCCTTAGTTTGAAGAACATTTCGATGCTATATCACAAGTAATATAGTTATGAAGTTCTTAACATAAACCACAGTAGGCAATGCTTTGCATGCCTGCATTTTAGTTTCCTCATGCTTTTAGTTTACTTTGTGAAGAATTGATATTTCCATGGAAAAGTTATACCCTAACTTTTATCTAGATAAATTGGATGGTAGTGATAATATAGTGGTTGTAATATCTTTCAAACCATGTAAAATATGCAGGCATTATGCAGTTAATGCATGCCTGGCTCCATTATATTCCGTTGAAGGAATGCACGTGATAACTGTAGAGGGCCTTGGATCTTGTCAGAGTGGGTTGCACCCTGTCCAGGTACCATGCTTGGTTCTTGGATACGTTCCCTTATTTTTTAATGAAAAATTTAAATTATTAGGCGTTAAAGAAATATTTTTTTGTGCTCATTTTGCTTCATCAATTATTTAATTTCGTAAACTAACAAAAGTGCACAAGAGATGAGCGTACTTTTATGATAGGAAATCATGTGGATGTATGGGAAGATTTAAGGTAAATTAGGGCCGTACTGCTTATCAATTAAATATTGGTGATAAGCTTCCATCTTTATTTTTTTTCCCTATAATGTGAAGGTTCACACTGCCGCTTGTGTGGATTTGAATAAAGTCTTCAATTGGCAGTTTAAAGATGAATAAATTAAGAAGCAAATTGCTTTTTCTTTTTCTATTCATTTTTTGCTTTTTTAATGCTGTATTGAGTACTCTTACTTAAGGGTCAAGAATTAGAATGGACTAAAACATTAGTTTGCAGCTTTTGATTCATTCGGAACATTCTTTGCAACTTGTTTTTGATATAGAGACTTGATATTGTGCTCATTACTGTCTAATGTGTGCAAATAAACCTCTTTAAGAGCTTTCTCTTAACAACCCATGATTGTGACTTGAAATGAGCTGATTTAATAAAAATGAGTGCATTGACAAAAAATAAGAAAGTAAAAGCTTATAAAGTTGGTCAGGGGGAGAAGATAAATGGAACGTGTTGAGAAATTATTTGACTTGTTTATTTCAAATCTGCACGTGGATATAACTTAGAAGATTTTTATGATAATTGACATTTTTATATTATTTGATGTATGATATATATGACTTCCATATGCTCTTTCATTTAATAATTAATGCCAATAGCTATGATCTAATTTACTTAACTCAACATATTGATAAAAAATCATTTCATCATTTTAATTCAATCAACATCTCATACATCAAATTCTAGTGGAGCATATTTAAACATTCTTTTTGTGTTTTAATTGTTTACCATTCCAAACTATCATATGATATTTACTAGAGTGGATATCATATTTCAATATCTGATTTTATTATTGTAATATATGATCATAATTGAGGGTATTTATTTCATTAAGTTATTCCAAATTTATTCCTTATTTTTAATTATATATCAACAATTATATCCAAGGTTAAAAGATCAATCAGTTTTAAAGTACACAAAAATAAACTATGTGGGGTCCTTTTACAATACTGATTTTTAAAGTAACTGAGTTGATCACTATATATATTTTTTTTCATTCTCAATGTGGCACAATAAACTTCATTCTGTATGCTGATAGCATTTTTCTCAAAGGAATGTTGTTTTTGAGATTGATTAAATAAATCAGTATTTTCAAATGACATTTGTTATTGAAAATTTGGGACATTCAAAATTTTTTTTTGGCATTGAGTTTGCTCATAAAAAAACGCGTTTCACTCTTTTTCTAAACAAAAAAAAAAAAAATGCTACAGAGTTGATTGAGAAAATTGGGCTTCTTGGATACAACCCTATCGACCCTCTCATGGATACTTTATTTGACATATAATGATGATGAAAGCTTCGAAGATACTTCTAGCTATGAACGCCTAGTTGGTATGCATTCGTCTATTACCCAACATGATGTATTCTTTGTTGATGGTATAATTAATTAGCATATGCAAAATCCAAAGAAGAAGTATTAGGATGTTATTTTAAAAATTTGAAGATATATAAAGAAATATCCAAAAAAGGGTCTTGTCCATTAGGAGCATAATCATTTAATGATTAAAGCTCCTCTTGACGCAACTATATTGTATCCATCGACGATCAAAAGTCTACTTTAAGATACTTGTTTTTCTATGAGAAAATTTTGTCTCATAGAGATGATGCGAGCTGTTTTGTCACTAACTTCAATGCTAAAGCTTCATGTGGGGCTATGACCTCTGCTTGTGAGATAATGTGGATTCGAAACTCTTATAAAAAACAACCCAAGATCTTTAAATTTAACAGCTGGGTAAAAGTCAATATTGCTTGCACTATTGTTTTTTATAAAAGAACTAAGCATATCGAAGTTGATTGTTATTCCATCAAATATACTTATTTTTTTATTTTTTGATGGAAAATTGTTTTTCCTTTGTGTTATGATTTTCTATGAAAGTTATGTAATTTGAAGAATATTTATAAATGTCTTTGAATTTCATTTTTGCATACAGTAATTGAAATGCATTTTAGGTGAGCATCCTTTGAAAAACTCAATTTAGCTCTATAAAACCCTTCCATCCCCTTCTCTTCATTTGTAACTTCTTCACTTAGCTCTAGATATTCACAGCTTTGGATTTGTTATTGTTTTCAATTAATTCACCACCACCCTTGACATCATTAAATTTATCATATCCACCATTCTTGTCTTCTCCACTATCTCTGCCTTGGTTAATTTCTCGCCCATCAGTGTTTTTTTTTCATCTACCATTCCCACTAATGTGCATCGCTTTCTGTAACTTTGCCATTATCAATGACTATATTGTCGTTATCAACTAAGATTTCATCGCCTGCTATGACACTATTGTTGACCCCATCATCTTTTTGCATCCGTCTTTGCTTCTTATCATCCTCCACTACTCTTCTTCATTTCATCCACACAATGTTGTCTCTTCAACTGTATCATTGTTTTCTTTCTTTTTCTTACCCTGCCATAGGCATGTTTATTTGATTGGGTTATTATTTGTTGATTTTTTCATTTAGTTTTGAAAATAAAATTTTGAAGCAAAAAATTGTTGAAAGTTCTTAAAAATTAAAATAATTATTCAATGGAAATATTGTCAGAACTCAATGATGGTATAATTTGTGATTACTTTGTTCTTAGTCGACAAATCATTAATAAATCTGTTGAAAATTTGCTAATATGTTCTTTCCTATTTGAAATATTTTTGAGGAAGTCCTCATCATAGATTGCTTCCTAACATATCTTTTTTTGTCACTTTTGTCAAAGTTTTTGTGAATATACTGAATTATGAATAGACTCGATGCCTTTTCCTTTTGCTTTCATTCCATTAAATAATAATCTTACAATATATTTTAGGTACAGAATATTCTGTATAATCTATTTTATGTAACTTAATAATGCAAATTCCTAATCTAAATATTCAGCTAACAGAGAAATAAATCAGAGTAAAGAAATTAGAAATAATTTAAATAAGAAAGCTCCTAATTATAGAAAACTCCTAATTTAGCTGCATGATTTCTGTCCTTCCTGATTGACATCCCCTCAAATTGATTTTAATTAATTAGGAAGCATCAATTTGTCAACAAAAAATTGATAACACTGCTGGGACAAAAAATTCTCAAGCCGTGAGTGACGAGCCGAGAATGTCGAAGCCTCAAAGACAACTCCTGAATCATAACTTGATTTGAGCAAAGAAAAACAAGTAATCATTTATGGTTGTCTTCCAGAAATTCGAATCATAGCTACGATAAGGATTCACGTCCAATTACACGATCCAGATGCTACCGATCACAGCCTACAAGTAGGATCCACATCTTGTTATACGATCCAAATACTACCGATCATAGCCTACAAATAGGATTCGCGTCTTGTTACATAATTCAAGTGCTGTGATTCTTCCTGCAACGATGAGGACGATTTGTTCCCTGATTTTCACGCCAAAAATGCTGAAGCCGAGATACCGAATTCGTGAGTGCCGAAACCGAAGATACCGAATTCGTGAGTGCCGAAGCCGTGAGTGCCGAAGTCTTGACAAGGCTTAACTTAATTTTATGCATCACTTTTAAACGCCAACATTCAGAGCCATAGAGCATTACAGGTACTCACCACCATCTTATAATATTTTTCTTTCGGTTTAAGCGGAACTTTTCTATCACACAATTGGCTCGAAGCATTTCTTCACTTCAACCAACCAACTTGAATTCTACTAATCTATAACACCATCTATATCACAATCACTTTGAATAATAGACCCGATATATCTGAGGCGTTTACATCTTTTAATAATTCGATCACCCATAGTTGCAAGTCTATCGCTAGAGCTATTACTACTAAAATTATATTCCATGTATTCAGTTTTAGTTCTAGTCAAACGAGAGTCTTTAGACTCCAATGTAGACCTCCATAATTCAAGTTTTTTCTGAGCTTTTTTCTAGTCTTATCCACGAGAAAGTTATCGTCAACGAAAAACATACACCAAGTTACGTCTTCCTATAAATGTTCAGTAAGAGGATCCTTAACTAAAACAAAAAGATATGGGCTTAAAGCCGATTCCTGATGTAATTCAACTGAAATAGGAAAATATTTGGTCAATCCTTATTCTGTTCGAACATAAGTAATAACTCTAGTATGTATATCTTTAATGACTTGAATATAAGTCATATCAACACCTTTCTTCTCTAGAATTCTCTAAATGATATCTCTTGAAACCTTATCATGAGTTTTTTCTAAATCAATAAAAATTATATATAGATCCTCCTTATTCTATCTGAACTTCTCCATTAGATTTCCCAATAAATGTATAACTTCCATAGTACACCTGATCCGACATAAATTCAATTTGATTATGAGAAATCTTTGTAATTCGTCTTAACCTATGTTCAATTACCCTCTCCCATAATTTTAAAGTATAACACATCAACTTAATTCCTCTATTATTTGAACACTCTTGTGCATCCCCGTTATTATTAAAAATGAGGAACAACATATTCTTTCTCCACTACTCAGACATCTTTTTAGTATGTAATATAATATTAAAGAGTTTAGTAAGCCAATAAACTCCCAAATTTCTTATATATTTCCATACTTTAATTGGGATATCATTAAGTCCTATAGACTTTCCACCCTTAGTTTTTTTTAAGGCCTCATTTTCTTTTTTACTAATGCAATGGTAAAAATGAAATATTTTATTATTATTAGCGATATTAAAATCACTAAGGTCGATTGTATTTTCAGAATCACTAAGGTCGATTCACTAAGGTCGATTGTATTTTCAGAAACATCATTAAAAAGTTTATCAAAATAACTCACCTACCAATGTTGAATATCGTTTTCTAAGAAAACCACATTTTGATTTTCATCTTTAATACACTTTACTTGAATTAAATTTTTACTTTTCTTTTCTCTTTGTTCGACTCATTTATACATATATTTTTCACCCTCTTTAGTATTGCATCTATTATAAATATCACTAAAAACATAATTTTTAGTGTCACAGATTGTTCTTCTTTGACTTCCTACGTTCCATTTTATATTTTTCATAGTCTCTAAGATTTTACATTTAAACCAATTTTATAACATAATTTTTTATATTTTATCTTTTCTTGCATATTATTATTCCACCATTAACTATTTTTATTTATAGAAATTTTTTCTGTTGATTCTTCAAGTACATCTTTTGTCACTTGTTTAATAGTCTTTGTTACTCTATTCCACATAAAATTTGTTTTCATGAACATCTCAAATCTTGAAATCTTTAAGTTTACTCATAAAAATAATTTTGTTTTGTTTCTTTTAGGAGCCCCCATCTAATTCTACGATAATGATAAAATAATTTTGTTTTGTTTCTTTTAGGAGCCCCCATCTAATTCTACGATAATGATTCTTATTATTATTTATTTTACAACCCTTCATCTTAAAATATAAATCTAATAATTGATGTTGATCACTTAAATCCTCACTTGGAATGACCTTACAATCTTTACATTCTCGACGATCTCTTCGCATAAGAAAACAATCAATTTGTGTTTTATTAGATCTATTCTTATAAATAATAATGTGTTCATCTCTTTTCTTGAATAAAATATTAACCATAATAAAATCATACGCTAAAATAAAATCTAATATGACTCACCCTCTTTATTAATCACTCTAAAACCGTAGTCACCATGAATATTTCTAAAATCTTCTACCACTCTACCGGCATGTCCATTTAAATCTCCTATAATAAAAATTCTTTCTTCAAAATGTATAATTTGTATTAAGTCTTCTAGGTCATTCTAAAATTTTTCCTTAGAACTTATATCTAAACCTACTTGAGGAGTAAAATCATTTATAATATTAAAAATCTTAGTATCAATAATCATCTTATATGGTCTATAATTCTATCTCAAATTCTATTAATTTTTACAACATTATCTTTCAAACTCTTATCTATAATTGCACACACACTATTTCTAGCGCGACTTTTACTTGAATATTAAAGTTTAAAATCTAAGTTATCACTAAGTTATCAATCTCCTTATCAATCTCCTTAGGCTTTTCTCCAACCCATTTAGTTTCTTGAATACATTTGATATTTATTTTTCTATGAATCATAATATCAACTAATTTCATTAATTTACCTGTGAAAGTATTTATAGTCCAAGTTCCTATCCTAATATTAGTTTCATGGACTGACTTATTTATTCACATCCGTCTGTAATCTGAGAACCCTTGCTTATTTGACGCCAATGTAGCGGCACTTGCACACTTTTTACTATATCTAGGCCATACAACGTGTTGTTTCCAGGGGACACCCTAGTATTTACACGTATTTACACAATGATCAAAAGGATTCATGTCATGATTTTTCGCAAATTTTATGTTGGCTGTCGACTACTTAGCGCAACCCTCTACTTTTCACACATGGGAGTTGTGACCTAGCAATGACAGTGTTGTGGGTGTAGAATTTATTAGGGTGTTGAGAGGTTTGTTGAAGTCTAATACTTTGCTGGATGCCCTGTTTATGAGATGATTGAATGTGAGAATTGCATCCCCCAGATGTGTTTGACACATTGTTAGTGAATAGAATTGAACAAGTCACTTCAAGGAGTTATCTGTTCTTTCTCTCAGTCACACTATTTTGTTGGAGCGTTTGAATTCACTAGTTTACATGATTGATGTCATTTTTGAATAGATAAGGGCCGCGAGTAGAGTTATTATAATTTTCTTTTATATTATCAATTTTTGAGGATTAGATTTTGTTCTGAGATTAGGTGAGGATCATCCCCACTTAGTGGGATAAAGAATTGTTGTTGTATTAGGTGAGGATCATGTTGTGGAATGTTTCAAATATGATGGTAATTTAAGATTTTTCCTTCATAAGAAGATCCTAGTGGTTCTGGTGTAATCATCAATAAAAGTGACAAACCACATCTCCCTATTTGCATTTTTTATTTTTGAGGGCCCCCAAATATCACTATAAACCATGAAGAAGGGATGTGTTAGTTTGTATTTCAGGTTTAAATACATTTTTTGAGCATGTTTAACAAATTGACAAGTTTCACATTGATAAAAGCTAGGTTTGTTATTGATAAACAAATGAGGATACAATTTTTAAATATAATGTAGAAGTTAGGATGCCTAAGGCGAAGATACTATACCATGACTTGAACTCATGAGAAACAAACTCAAATACAATACTTGACTCAAATGATTGCGAATAATCGGACATCCCTTTTAAAATGGGAGTCCTAGTGAGCAGATATAGTCCATGATACATTTCAGCATTGTCAATCACTTTATTCCTGGTTTATAACATGAAATTCATATAATCAGGTTTGAATTTAATAACACAATTCATGTGACAAGTAATTTTACTGATATTCAGTAAATTGTAGTCAAGTTTAGGAACATAAAATATAGATTGATGAATATGGTTATTTGTGAGTGTCACACTTTCTCTTTCTTCCACAGGTGAAAGGGAGCCATGTGCGGTTCTAATTACAACATGGTGCTTGTAAGAATGGAATGATTGGGAATCGATGATATCACCTATCATTTGATCGAATGCTCCAGAGTCCACTATCCGAGACGAATTCTTTCTGTTGGTTGCAGCAAGAGCAGATGAAAAACTACCTTGATGTGCTAGAAGGTTGGTAGAAAACTCAAAATATTATCCCAGAAGTCTTTGGAAAGTTTCAAGTTGTTCCTTATTGAATGGACTATGTTCACGTGACTTGTCTCATTTGATGTTGTCTCTTTGATTTTTCTTATCACCTCTGACATTGTTGGGCTTCCAATCTATTGAATTTCCATAAAATTTTAACACGCCCCCTTCGGATGACCAAACCTCTTGCAATGTTCACACCGCATTCTGATCTTCTTTGATTTGTTGTCTTGAGATGATTTGTGAGTGTATAAAGTTGAGTTTTCAACATTTAATGTTGTGGAAATACCCACCATCATGAGTTGTTTTCTGCTCTCCCCCCTTTGTACTTCAACAAAATCTTCAGGAATTGAGGGAAAGGTTTTGTTTCCATGATTTTGCCTCCGACTTCATGTAGTTTCTTGTTGAGCCCTAGAAGAAACTTTAAGATTCTCTTCTGCTCAACAAGGGTTTTGTAAAGCACAGTCTTGTGAGCATCTCCATGTGTATGTTTTATACATATCTAGTTGGAGCCAATATTTATAGAGAGTGTTGAAGTATTGAGTAACATTCTACTTGCCCTGTCGGAAATCATGTAATTTTCAATGTTAAACAACTCAAAGGTGTTATTAACATTTGAATAGATTTCCCTTGCGACACCCTAAATTTCTTTTGCTATTTTGTACAGGAGGAAATTTTCTTTAATTTCTGTGATCATGGAGTTGACAAGCCATGACATGATTATATGATATTCAATTTTCCATACCTGATGTTTAGGATCAATAATTTCTAGCGCAAAATTTTCCTCGATGGTATCATCTTTTTCTTTACCTCAGATATACATAAATATCGATCGAGTCTACCGGAGAAAATTTTTGCCTTGCAGTTTGTGATTGGTGATGCATGAAGAGATTTTAATTGTTGTAGAACCCAACATCCTATGTTCAAATTTAGAAGTAAATTTTGAAGTGGAAATAGTATCCTTCATGTCTTCTTTGTTTGCCATGGTGAGGCGCGACATGTTCTTTGATTTCTGCTAGAAAGAGGAAGTGGAATCACGACTGTATAAATTAAATGGGACGGAGTTCTGCCAAAATCACTTGGCGAATGGTATCCATCACGTAGAAGCATGTCAGAACCGTTTGAGACGATGATTTCCACACGACAAGAAGATTGTTGTAGGGTTTTGGGTTCCGGCTACAAGGGCGAGGGGATCCGATGGTTTGAATTGTAGTAGGAGGATGCTTGATAAAATTTGGCGGCCTTGATGACAGGAGGAAGACACTTGTAAGGAGAAGTGTGGGTAGAGGAAGGAGAGAGTTAGGGTTTCATACCTGGTTCTGCTATCACGTGAAATTTGGGAGGAAAAAAAAATCTCTTATTTCTCATTAGCGAATAACTATGTATAAGTAGCTAAGATTAATGCTCTTAGAATTTGAGAGAAATTCAAATCATCATGATAAAGTGGAAAGAACTAAAACACAGTAAGGGATGATCAAGTGAGAATACTTCCTCCTCTCACATGTAACAACGGACTCATTATTTCCTGTGCTGTGTGCATATCATATATACACACATATATGTATGAATATTCAAAACTAATATAAAAATTTAAAATTATCTTTGTTGATTTACATTTATTTTTTATTATGGTTATGTTGTTTTTCATTTTTTTTTAAAACATTAAACACATGATTATAGAAATAAAACATATTTTGTTTCGAGAAGCAATCCCAAATGGGCCCTAAGACTTTGGCTAACTCTTTTTTTTTCCCCATCATTTCGAAAGTGTGAAATTCTTTCTATTATTTAAGTTTTTGTGCGGCTCTGTGTGAATAAAATAGGCTTTTGCTTCAAGCTATGTTCATTCTCTGCTAATCTTCAAAGTTCACATATTACTTCAACTACAGGAGTCTTTGGCCCAATCCCACGGTTCTCAGTGTGGATTTTGTACCCCTGGATTTGTGATGTCTATGTATGCGTTGCTGAGGTCAAACCAAGCATCTCCTACTGAAGAGCAGATTGAAGAATGCCTCTCTGGCAATTTATGTCGTTGTACTGGCTATAGACCCATAATTGACGCGTTCCGTGTTTTCGCTAAGACTGACAACTCTGCATACACTAATTCATATCTAACAAATGGAGAATTCATTTGCCCATCATCCGGAAAACCGTGCTCATGTGGAGAAAATAAAGTTCAAAATTGTGAAGGTTCGGCTGGTCATGCCTGTGGAGAACACAGACCCGTCCAATATAGTGAAATTGATGGAAATATATACAAAGATAAGGAACTTATTTTTCCACCTGAGTTGGTTATGAGAAATAATCTTCCATTGAAATTGCATGGTTTTGGGGGAATTACATGGTATCGTCCTCTAAAACTCAAACATCTGTTGGATCTCAAATCACTTTACCCAGCTGCAAAACTCGTTGTGGGTAATACGGAGGTCGGAATTGAAATTAATTTTAAAAGTGCACAATATCCAATCCTTATTTCCGTCATGCATGTACCTGAGCTTAATGTTTTGAGCATTAAAGAGAATGGCCTTGAGATAGGTTCTTCTGTAAGGTTGAGCAGACTTCAAGAATTTCTCAAAGAAGTGATAGAAAAAAGAGAAATTCATGAAACAGCCTCTTGCAGGGCTATTAGTGAACAGCTAAAATGGTTTGCTGGAAAGCAGGTGAAAAATGTTGCTTCTGTTGGTGGAAATATCTGCACTGCTAGTCCAATTTCAGATTTAAATCCACTTTGGATGGCTTCTAGAGCAGATTTCAATATTGTTGACTCCAAAGGGAACATCAGAACTGTTCATGCTAAAGATTTTTTTCTCGGTTACCGCAAAGTTGATATTGCTCAAGGTGAAATATTACATTCAATTTTCTTACCATGGAACATGCATTTTGAGTTTGTGAAAGAATTTAAGCAATCTCACCGGAGAGAAGATGATATTGCACTCGTAAATGCTGGAATGCGAGTCCACCTTAAAGAATTAGGGTCAAACTGGCTAGTTTCTGATGCTTCCATTGTATATGGTGGAGTTGCTCCAGTTTCTCTCTCTGCGACAAAAACTGAAAATTTTCTACAGGGAAAGATATGGGATAAAAACTTATTACAGGAGGCTTTAAAAGTATTGAAAGACAATGTTCCTCTTACAGGAGATGCACCTGGTGGGATGGTTGAATTCCGAAAATCACTAATATTGAGTTTCTTTTTCAAATTTTTCTTGTGGGTTACTCAGCAGATGAATACAAATGGATTGTTGAAGGAATCCATGGATGAAACTCACTTGTCAGCCATAAAACCTTACTCCAGGCCTTGTTCTACTGCGAGTCAGAACTATGAAATAACAGCACATGGAACTGCTGTTGGTTTACCGGCAGTTCATCTATCCGCTAAACTACAGGTTTAATTATGAATTAGATAAAGCTTTTAGTTCATTCCGTTTATGAATATGGTCATTCTTATCTTTTTTTTTTACTACTAAGACATTAATGCCAAAGTTCTTTTTCTTCTTTACATTTCATTGGGGTGATGATGCAGATTACTTTATTTTGCTTGAATAAATCCTTTTATTTGCTTTAAAATTGGTAAAAACATTGTAATGCATGGCTGCTAAATATGCAGTATATTGTGCCATTGGAATTTGATTGCTCATGTCTTATCGGAGCTTTATTTGGTACTTTTAAAGCAAAACTATAGATGCTTGACACATAATATATTTCACTTTGGCATTTATTAGTTTTACTTACCGATCAATATTATTCAAAGTACCCTTAGGAGTGAAGCGAAACAATATGTTGTTACTGTGCTTCGCTTGCATGTGAAGCATAAACTCGCCAAAAGCGTGTCCATCATACTGCTTCACTGTGCTGAGATGTAGTGCTGCTCCATCAGCTATAGCTTAAAACAAAATTCTGGCTTATATTTCATGGTTTAGCTCACAACTGTTATGATAATTAGGCCTGAATGGTTGCTTCTCATCGTTATTTCTTATCGTCATTAAATATTTGCTAATTGGTTTTACGATATAAAGAAGAAACAAATTGCCTCAATGATAATGACCATTGAAGGTCTTGCTGCTAGCGTAGTATCATCTGCTCTATTACCATGCATAGATAGAAGGAGATCCATTTACTTGCAGACAATTTGCTGAGGAGAATCCATCCACTGGAGAGAAGAGGAGAATAATATAGAATGAATAAAAGAAGATCTCCCCTCTAATGTAGAAGCAAAACTAGAGTTATATTGGAAACAATTAATGTATCATCTGTCTTCTATTGGAGGTATCCTTTGTGAAAGTCATGAGGAGTCGATGGGCCAATATTGATCATCAAACAAACTCTTGGTGATTGAGATCCGGTGTCTAGAAATTTAGATGATCGGATAGTGATCCAATGAACTGTAAGGTTAGGATGAATTTTAAATTTGTTTTGGATAAGTTAATTTGATTTTTAAATTCAAAAGAGGAGTATTTAATGGAGTTTGTTCCTATCTATTCTCACATTAGTTTATAACTTTAAATTAATTTCTATATTTTGTAAATAAATGAGCATTATTCTTGCAGTAGACGTTTATGAAAAAATTCTTCCAATCCTTTGCTAACTATTCTCTCCAATTGCCATCTGTCCTACTTGAGGTTTTGAAAGTTTATATGTTATATGCTTCAACAATTAGCCTTCTGCTTCCAAATTTTCAATGTTGGTAGACTCTCTTCTCTTCCACCACTTACAGTCATCAAAATTTCTTCCTAAAGCACCAGCCGAATCCACTCCATACGTGACGTGCCTACAAAATGCAGAAATAATAGTTTAGAATTGTTCTTCAGCAATTTTGGGAGTGGGGGACAATAAGAAAACTTGCTGTATTTGAAGGAACAATAGAAGAGAAAATTTAGTTTCTTCATGTAATGTCTACTGATCCTATGTCCTAATCATGAAACATTGTATCACTTCTAGAAGAAAAAATGCTTAGACTTAGTAGATTATTGAATATACAATTTTTCATTTTAGTGGACATGGACGTAATACGATCACATGTAATGGTTGAGATTTACGCGATTCATAGATGTGAAAGATTTAGATACATTTGTAGTTTATAAAAGAATGAAATTATAACTTTTGTACTTTGAGTATTTTCGAGATCCTCAACGGTAAATTTTACATAACACCCTGTTCAACTATATTGCACAGAAAATGTAGTAAATTAGTTAAGTGTGTCAAGTATTGTAATGCTAGGATGGATAAAATATAAAGGTTCAAGTGGAAGCATATTATAAATTGGATTAGTTCCTATTGAACACAAGGTCATTGAAAGCATATTAGATCATAATTGGACTAGTAGCTGGAATTGAGAGTGTAAGCCATAAAAGGGAGCTTGTATATACCTCAGGTATGCATATTTTCCAAAAAAGTTTGACATGAACTAGAGTAAGCAACACAAGAAGTGCTCAAAAGGAAAAAAAAAATGTTAAATTAGGATGTAAAAGGCAAATATATAAACAATTTGTTCAATCGTGGATAAATACAAACTATTTTTATGTGCATGCCCACAACTCTATAATAACTGTACTGTGACTAGAATATCATTTTGTAGATAAACCTTAATTTTCTACATCTGAAATGTTCGTTTGAAATGCCAAAGAAGCCTTGAACATTTTCAATAAGAAAGGTCTGAAAAAGAATATTAGAATCCAACTGCAAAAAGAAATGGTACATCTAAATTTTATATTAATTTAATGCTTTCACCACAAACTTGTGTTGTTGGGCTTACAGGCATATGTTGATGTTATTTTATTGAAGTTTAGATGCGTATCTGAAAAAGTTGTAGATATTTGAACTTGCTTTGGTTAAACACTAATTTGTCTTGGTTAATTCTTATATCTGTAGTTGGATCAAATTGATGAAAATGCCCAATCAAAGTTAGGTAGTTTCATACTTCATGATAAAAAAAGAAAATGATAAAATGCATTTTTCTTGCCTGATGCCCTATTAAAGTAGGGCTTATAAAATTCTTCATCTTCATTATTCTCTTGAAGAAGGAAGCTAGGTTTTGATGCCTTTATTGAATTTATATGGAGAGGGATGGTTTTTGGAGATTCGTATAGAAGGAAATGAATAACTAATTGTAACATATCTTAAAAGAAACAAAAACTGGTTGAAGAATGTGCGAACATGGGCAGTTCAACTTCAGCATGACTAGAATCTTTATGAATGAAAGAAATCTTGATTTTTTTTTTCTTTGCCTTTTGCCAGTTTTACACAGGCAACTACTCTTTTTAATATCGAATTGGGTATGTTACTTGTGTCCCTTACTTATTTGTATTTGTATGTTCCAATTTTGCTTGTGTCAAAATTATAAGGAGCGCATAAGGTTTGTATTTTTGCAGATGGAGTGCGAGGAATATAAGATATTAAGTAGAGCTTAAATGTCTTTGGAGGAGACGTTTTATATAAAATGGGGGCATTTTATTTATTGCATTTTTTTCTATTTTCAGGTTCACATTTAATGAAGGCATTTCATGAATTTAATTATTTTAATTTAGTAATAATTAATAAATGTATTATAAATTAATTATTTTAATTGATTAATAATTAATAAATTAAGTCCTAGATTTTTAACTATTTTAATTTATTAATAATTAATAAATATATTATAATTTAATCTATAATATTTATTATTTTTATAAATAATAATTCATAAATATATTATAAGTTATAATTTTAATTATTCTAATTGATTAATAATTTGTTTGTATATTATATTTAACTTGTTTTATTAAATTTTAACTAAGTATTAATTAGTTTAATTAACAATTAAATAAAAATTAATTAATCAATGTATGAATTTGTTTAATTTATCACATTAGATATATCATCCTATTAAATTATATCCTATACATCTTATTATAATACTATAACTCAAAGGAAGATGGATTTTATTAGCTCAAATTCGTTTAATAAATAAGTTTAAATTTAAATATTAACAAACTATATGTGTTAAAAATATGGATAAATGCTCAAAAACATTACACATACAAATTATTATTCTCATTTATGTCACGGTGTAATGACGTCTGATCTAGATGTATATCAAAATGGTGGTCAGACTAGTCAATATTGCGACTATTGTTCTTGAAATTTTATTTTAGCATCATCTTCTTCAGTTGCTTTATTTGCAGTTTGATGCAACATTTAGTAGTTTTCTTCATTTATGGGAATTGATGGTGTATAAATCTAAGATGTACCCAAAGCTCGGCCTATATCAATTATTTGAGGCACAAATATAGGTGCAGACACGTCCATGTTCTGAAAATCTAAATCCAAGTCCCCGCCTGCATAAGTTGTCCACTGTTAGTCATATGATGTACTCTCATATGCAAACAATCATATATAGTTTGACTCTAGTAAATTTTGATTGAGTAATATATGTTGATAATTTTGGATATGATTGATCATGCGGCTCATCTAAGAAAGATCTACATGTTCTAGCAAATGAAGATCTCATTGGAGTTGACTTTTGATCATATGGCTCAAAAATTGTCTTCACACTCTCTTCATCATAATTATGATGTTTCGAGAGTAATTGTAATTGTAACAAATGATTCCATTGGAAAACAAATCAAAATTTATATTTGAAAATTATACTAGTTGGGTTTTAATTCATGATTAAATATTAAAATATACCAACAATGCAAAAAAATTCATAAATTATCAAATTTAAATTTTACATTTTAAAGTCGTCTATTTAAAACCTATCTAATAAACCCGCAAAATCATTGGCAATTAAGTTTGTGTGTGATAATAACATATGTGAAACATAAATCATTAACGGATTTGATATATGAAGGAAATAAGATAAATTTATGACTATAAGAACTTTCAGGTGAGGAGGAGGGTACAAAAACCTCTTACATCCCAAACTTCTTAAGCAATGTAGGCCCTTTTGACAAAGCTCTTTATGATTTCAAATACACTATATTTTATACACATATAAACAAGATTATTCTAATTTGTCATATCGTGTTTATAAATAAAATATAACTAAATAATTCATATATTAAATCTCTTAAAATAAACTAAGTGCAATTAAGTTTGTGTGTCGCAACAACACATGTAAAACATATTTTATAAATTAACTTGATATTTGCAAGAAAGAAAAGTGAATTCGTAGCTATAAGAACTTTCAGGTGAGGAGGACCTCTTATATTCTATGCTCCGCTTAGACAATTTAGGCATTTTTGATAAAAATTTTTATAACTTCAAATACACTATAATTTATAAACATAAGTGAATTTTAATTTGTCATATCATATTTATGAATAAAATGTAACTAAATAATTCATATATTAAATCCATTAAAATAAACTAAATGCAATTAAGTTTGTAGCAACAATATATGTGAAAC